GTAATATACACTAGTCAACATTTGAAGTGGATCAAAACCATTCATCAAAGTTGTCCTAAAACCAAAACCAAAATGCGTTCTTGTCTAAGGACAATTTTAATGAACTTTTTTGATCCACTTCAAATGTTGACTACTGTATATATATATAGCCGGCAGGCTCAAGTAATTAGCAGTTATGCCGGGCCCAATACACAAACACCTAATTGACACCAATGTCTCAATCATCACACTGTCAGCACAACAAATGCTCAGTCTGACCTGACCCTGACAGACATCTTATCAGCCCAATCAAACAGACCAAATGAGACTAAAAACCTCTTACCACAGGCAACAAAGAGGTTGGGCTTTATACGTTTTGCATGCCAAACTACATGCTGTCTTCTCTATTGTGTGGGGAGAAGGCTTTGTGAAGAGATCAGCATGTCTTCAAGACATTAGCTGAGCCACACTCTGTGAGACAAAAGGCTTAGGTAATTCTCTTTTTTTCTCACATGGGTGACTTGGGCTCTCCTCTCTTGCTAAAGTCTGACTCCATTTAATGAACGCTGCAAAGAGCGATGATAAGAAGGGCCTGGGGGAGGGGGCCGCCACACCGCTGCGAAGATAGAAATCAGGCCCTACAGGTGGAGCTGGGTTCTCTATCAACACCACCATTGTTCCCCTCTCCAACCGCCGCATGGCAAAGAGCCACAACCTGCCCCGATCTTGCTGACATCATTGTGTACGAAGAGGGGAAGGCGGTCAAAACCTGATACACACATACGTTCTTGCTTGTTTGGTTTGGTTATGCTGAAAATGACTGTCGTGACACAGTCTTAACCATTAACCCTAGAGGCTTCTGCGCATTCTTAGACACTGTGTCAGGCTGAGCAACACCCCGCTTGAGTTTGCCAAGTCCACACAGAGCCTAGAGGAAGAAGCGGCGTGAAATGAATGTTTAAGGGGGTCTGAATACTTTCCGTACCCACTGTATATTCAGTACAAATATGGCAGTTGTGGTTGCCGGAAATTCACTTTAGAAAATATGGTGACAATATTTCTGGGATTACAGGGTAACATATTTTTGCCTGTATATTTTGGCAACTGTATATTTCATCAAATGATATATTAATATACTATCATACCAAACAATTACATACCATATCTACTTGAACTAAATCTGCTTTTTACTTTAAAATGTACTCATAACCACTATAATAATACAGTGTACTAACATTTTTTTTAACACAAACACAAATGTAACACACTAATGTACATTACTGATAACAAAACAAATATTAAATAATTTAGATAAAATATAATCATATGTCACTCAGGGCTTTTTGGGAATGTGCTTTTACTGCAGGTTTGCCAAGTCCACGGTTATCCAGCTGATTTGGGCTACTTTTAAACTCTGCGTCTCTTTATTAAAACAGACTGTGCTTATCATTACTATATAGTGATTTTCAAGCTGGAATTGTGCATATTGCATAACATTAATTGTAAAATATGTATTTTAGGTATGGGAGTGGCATATTTTGATATTTGGGCTATATGGTCATTGGGCAAGTTTTAGGCTATTTTTGATTTTATTGGTTACATAGATGTAACAACTGTTTTACAGTTTTTCACTGTAAATTATATGGTGATTCATATTTTTTACTTGCAAAAAACATATATTAGACAGTATTTTACAGTAAAACTACATATAATGTGATATTAAATCTAAGTACAGTAATTTACAATTATCCAATTGACAAGATTTTTCAGTAAAAATGTCAAAAAAATTTACAGTGTGGGAGAAATGGAATTCTGTAAAGAATTTTAAGATATTCCTTGCAGATGAATCATTTTTGATGCCGCTTCATTTAGCAATACGCAATCTTTTTGTATACTTTCACATGACGGAAGACTGACAGATGTGTTGAAGCCATTGAATTGGGCCTGAAAATAGATGGACAGGAGGCTGCCGATGGCTCGAAAGATGCAAGACCCTTTATTGTATTGTTGTTATTCCCAGAGAGACCTCCTTTGATAGGGTTTTTTCCACTCTCTTGTACCCCATCAATCTTTTTCCAATTACATGTCTTGTCTCCCCCAAATCTGTCACAATTGTTGCCTTGGAAACTGGTAGCGTCCAGCGCCAATATATTTTGGTCCACTGTTCGATTTGTGTTGATGTGGCAACATTCCCCCAGACGAGCGATCCTGAGAAAAAATCCTGGTGCGATCAGGTTGGGAAGCACTTGAATCAGATGTAACCAGTACTATAACACAACTGCGCTAGCTTAGAATGAAAATGTTTGATAAAAATATCCGATAGCAGAAAAACATTGCCTTCGATTCACCTCCATAATAACTGTCGTGGTTGGCATGTGGGGTGCTGTGCTTAAAAAAAACGATGTCTCTGCCCTCAAGGACATTTCCGTACTCTGGGAGCCCAGGGTGCTTTGAAAAGCACCAGAAGTGACAAGACTCCCTCTTCCAGACTGTCATGCATATACATATACACATACACATACACATACACATACACATACACATACACATACACATACACACAGAGACTTACACACTCACACAGAGGACTCACAGAATGTCATTAGACGCTTGGTATCCTGTGTGGTGAGCTGTCAGCTTGTCATCTTTCAGTCGGTGCACTCGACTGGACAGCAGCGAGCATGCTGGGATGTGACAGCCAGTAAAATGGAGTCCTGTCATTACTTCTCCCCACACCTGCTGTTCTGGTTCCCTAAGAGGCAGCAGACAAATAAACATATAAACAAACAATCTAAAAAACATTCCCAGTGTTTAGAGCCAAAAATGAAAAACATGCCCTTGTAGAAATAAATGGACAAGATGTCAAGTTTCAGTTTGGTTGAAAAATGTAATCTTTTACTTAATTCTGTCATTCTCGGGTTGCAATGTTAACATGACACCTAACGAAGTGCATGTCAGCAGAGTTAGACGAGATACAAATATCAGCAAGTTGTCAGCGGCCCTCAGGCCATCGTTGTGTGCATGAAGTCAAGAGAATTGCAATAAATGTTGTGGGCAGCATTAGTATCATCTGCACTCTTGATGGTCTTTGTCTTGCAGATCTCATAGGACATTTTTAAAAACAATCAAGTAAAATGATATCAAAATGAACAATAAAACATATAATTGGCCTGGAGCTGCTAAGAGGTGGGAGATGACAACAGCCGGCTGCAGGAGTCACTGTTTTTACAGGGCATGAGGTGACGTTTCTTAAGTGTGTCGATCAAAAGAGCATGAAAGTGAGAGAGAGAGAGAGAGAGAGAGAGAGAGAGAGAGATGGGGGGCAATAAGGTGAGAAATAGACTTGCAAAATGAAGCTAGAAGTGTGAGGAAAAAACTGGAAGGTTATATCATTAAGATTTACCCCAGTGAATACTTCTCAAGGAGCTTTTCTTTTTGAAAGTCAATTTATGTATAGATACATGCACAGGAAAAACAGTGTAGAGTTCACCAACACAAACATATAGGTAGTAGGAGTTTTCACAACAGAATCTGCCATTACTTTTCACCTCATTTTAAACAGTAAAATAATTATGAAACACAAAACATTTTAAAACAATTGTAAAGTATAATGTTGTGGCCAGCAGATATTGCAATAAATCAATCTGATACATTTCTAACATTCAAAGCATGTGTGAAAACACAATTTTATTGTATCAGTTTTATCTTCAACATTTGAAGATGAACAAAAATGCTGACCTTCTTTCTGAGCAAAACATATTCATGAGTGCAGAACTTTTGTAGCACATATTATTATGTACAATCAATGTTATTTTACTACTCAAACATGACAGAAATGTGTAATATGCTATTTAAAATATTTACTTACTTTATAACGTGAAGACGTTTCTTGCGCTCATTCAGGCTGCATTTATTTAATAATATTTTACAATATAAAAACAGCAGTATTGTAAAATATAATTAAATATTTTCTATTTTAATATAATGTAAAATGTATTTTATTATTGTGATGCTAAGCTGAATTTTCAGCATCATTACTCCAGTCTTCAGTGTCACATTATCCCTCACAAATCATTGTAATATACTGATTTGCTGCTCAAGAAACATTTCCTATTATTATATATGTTGAAAACACTTGTACTGTTTACTTGTAGAAACTGTAGAAACATTTTTGCAGGTTTCTCTGATGAATAGAAAGTTCAAAAGAGCAATCATTTGCAATCGATTTTTTTTCTATTGTCACATTAAATGTCTTTACTGTCACTTTTGATTAATTTAATATGTCCTTGCTGAATGAATTCATTAAAAATAATTATACATTTTTTAATTAAATGTTTTTTTTCAAAATCTTACTGATTTAACACAGATTTAAAAGTAAACTGCAAATTTATCCATGTGTTGAATTTAAATGACATTTTTCTAATGTTTTAATGTGTGAATGGAGTCCTAAGCTCATTACAGTTACAGTTTTTTTGCCTATACCTAAGAAAAAAAATTCCACAGGGTGCAATACATGAAAGAAATACACGTTTCTGATATCTACATGAGTTATGACAAGTACATCAATTTCTAATCATGATTAGATGAATCTTGGCAGCACCAATCAACTGGCATTATATACTTGGCCACCAGGGTGGGTAGTAGACATCTGTGAAGAGTTACATTATCATAGAAACATTTCAAATTTTTTGTCACGCCAAACTCAAACGGCAGCTGGAGAGTTCTCCGCATTTTTACAACGCTTGAAAGGACAAAACATGCATTGCACACATCTTGTACATTCAGAGAATGTAGATTGTATCGTTATGCTGACACGAATAGGTGCCCTTTTAAAAACAAACGTCTCTGCGGATCTGCTGGCCGTTGAGCCAACGGTAGATGTTTAAACACGAAACACACTGCAGCAGATCATAGATTTAGAGTGCACGAGTTGTAAATAATGAGGAGTTTGTCACAAACAGTCCGTCCTATCAACACCGTGCCTGTCAGTTCAGCGCACACATGCGCATCACCTCGGTGCAGCGCGACCTCGCGATTGGCTGGAGCGCGTTTGTTATTGGTAGTGACGTATGTGAAGTGACGACCCTCCCGTTGTGCGGTGCCTCAGTCTGTGCGCTTCTAGAGCCACGGTCCTCACTTCAGTGTTTATTTGGTTGTCATGGCGGAGGGACGTGGAGAACTATTGCCTCAGCCGCCGCTTCACCTCTCCTTACCCCCAGCCAGCAAGCGTCCGTGCTTGCGTCCCGCTCCTCGAGGACCGGGTCCGGGGCCTGGCCCGGGATTTCCGAACTCTCGTTTCCGTTGCCCGGAATCTCTACTGGACTGCGCTGCGAAGGCCGTAGCGGAGAAATGGGCCTTCGAGAGGGTGGAGGAGCGCTTCGAGCGGATCCCAGAACCGGTTCAGCGCCGTATCGTGTATTGGTCGTTCCCGAGGAACGAAAGGGAAATATGTATGTATTCGTCATTTCAGTGCCGAGTGGCGGGGGAAGAGGGTCCGGTAGTGGGCTCGAGCTCGTCCGTTGGATCTAGTACAGTCCCCGGAGGGGTTACGAACACAACAGGCAGCGCAGGGACGGGGGGCACCGGAGATGGACTGCCTTTCCGCCGGGGAATCCGGCTTTTGGAAACCGGTTGTGTGGACAACGTCTTACAAGTCGGTAAGTGCCGCTTTAACCGTCTATAATAGCCTACGTTGAAAGTTACATCAGAGATATTTGTTTCACTTTTCCAGCGAACGAAGTTTCTTGAGAAAAATGGAAGTGGTCTCGTTTAGTAACTGTAATGCAGCAGCTTTGTTTCTACATAGCGATTTCTCACTGCCAGTAAGGGAGCGTTTAAACGCCTGCCGTATTGCTAAAGAAACGGAGCGCACGTTTTAAAAATTAAAGGGCTTCTTCCCGTTGGGTATGTTGCAATGGCTTTAATGTGGAATCGGTGGCTGCAAAAACAATTATATGCCTTATAAGTTATAGAAAAGACTAAAGCTGATGCTAAATCGTGTATATTTGAACGAACACAGTGAGGTCTGTCGAAACGGAACATTCTTTCCCAGGTCGCGAGGAAGAAAAGACTAACGTGCTGGTCACAATGAATCTCTGTTGTAGCACACAGGGCTGCTATTTTGTTGCTAATATGCCAGTTTAAAGTTTTAGTACTAGCTTTTCTCTACGTATGTGTGGTTGCTTGGCGGTTGTTGTATCTCTTGATATAATTAAGTCCAGGGTAATCCGCTTGAATCCAAATCCCAAATCTTTTGTTTATTTGCTGGTTAGTCAAGACAAAGGACTCGTATTTGGCGTAGTAAAACGACTGATAAAACATGTATCTAGACTTCATCTAGCCCGCTGTTGTTTTATTTAGAAGACCCTTCGTTGATATAAGCGTTAAAATGAGTAAAAAAATTTACTATTCGGCTAATTGTGTCGTTGGGTTGTCCTCGTAGAGGCTACAGCACAATAGCTCAATGCCCCCCTCACATCGGGCTAGTTCTTCTGTATTCGCCGAATGGCAAGTTTTTTTGGTGTGTAAAGATGTTTTTCTAAACCATAGAAAACCGTCACAGCAATTTCAAGCTTCATTTAAACGTGCTAAATCAAAAAAAATGGTCAACATAACTCGAGAAGGCTTTGGTATTTAGAGCACGAAGGCAGTTTCAATGGCTGCCCAAATGTCTATACATTTTCCTCCCCCACTCGCTCCACTTCAGTAAACATACTGGCAAAATACTATCGTGAAAGAAAGGGAAAAGTGATTTTTAAAAATACGCACAGACCTTTGTATGCTTCCAAAGCACAAAATTATAAATGAAGTGCTTGTTTGAAGTCGTAAAATTGCACCTCACTTGTAAGGCTCAATATGACATTTATAATGTTTGAGGCTTGAGGCTTTAGTTAAGATCAACAAAACCTTTCACAATATTAAATATTTAGGCTATATAAGATATACTAACAGTATAAAGCAAAAAAAAAATCTGGCATTTAGTAGGTCCACCACAGTTTTCCTATAATTTAAGCTTTCTTTTCTTGAAATAGCATTTACAGGAAGCCCCAAATCTCCAATAATTGTAGGTGTTATGAGAGTAGTGAAAGTATACATATAACTAATTCAATAAAGAAGCCATGATTCATTTATTCTCACAACGATCCACTGTGTCCCTTTAAAAGGCCAGTGTTAGTGGAAACGTGATAACCTAGCTGTAATGAAATCACATGGGCACTTATTTAGCAACCTTGAAAAGCTCCCTTCAAGAGTCAGTGTAGCCCCTTTTTCAAGTTAAACAAATCTAGTTAGTTATTTTGTGTTTTTAAAGTTACCGTATATTCAAGAATATTCTCAAAAGTTTCTAGACTTGGCAGTTGTCACGGCTATTGTATTTTCTTCGTCTCAGTTTTGTTATTCTGCGTACATTATTTTGATAGTGTCACGTGAAGTAGTTCTAGTTTATATTTTTAACTCTGATGATAATGAGCAGATGACAAAAATGCACAGCGTTTCAGCTTGGATTGAGTTTTTAAACATTAACCTTTTAAGTGTGAATAAGCAGTTTTTTGGATTGTAAAAGTAACAATGGACAGAATAGATCCTTCAGGCATCTGACAGTAAGGGGATGTCACCAGTTGATAAACCGAGATAAAGCAAGTTTAATTGCATTCTGTTTTGCTCTGCGTGTGTAGATTGTGTTCTTTGGTTTTGATGGGTACAGAAACTGCATCTAATAGGGGAGTTCATGACTTGTGTCGTTAACCATGAGCTGTCTCAAAAATGTGCAGTGTGTGTGTTTTTTTTCTTCTCACCAATACAACTGCAAGATCCACCCGTGCATGCATCAATATACTCTTTTTGTCTCCATTTTTGTTGTAGCTTTGACTCATCAATGCCACAGTTTCCTTTAGACCTGTTTAAAACCCTCAAAGACACAGCAACGGTGTAGACCGCTTTTAACATTTATTCAGCATGTTCTCCAAAATGCAAGCTTGCAAAGATTCATACACAGACACTTACTCATAGTAAGCCAGGCTTACTCCGAAGTTTGCCAGAAAGTTCACAACATAATTTGTACTCTTTCCGAAAGCCATAGCCATAGTGAAGCACCAAAGCCTGAGGAAACAGATTTGATAAGAATAATTAATTCTTGTTTGTGTAATTCAGCCACCCCACCCGGCCCACAGTCTCTGTCTTATAAAGTCCTTAGAGAGGAGGTTCTAGCTTTGAGTCAGGCTTGAGGATTATTGGGTCATGCTTTGTTACCCAGCTGTAGAAAACTCCCCCCATTCACAGAAAGGTGGAGGGTTGTCGTTGTGTGTGTTTGGGTTGGAGAGTATAGCTGAGCTGTGATGTGAAGCCTTTAGAAAGCCTTCTTCTGTGTTTAGGAGGCAGAAGTTCGGTGGGATTATGGCTGGAAGAGCCACTGAGAGGTTGTTTAGTCACCTTAGTGCCTCTGTAAAACCTAGGCAAGCATTGAATTGAGTTATGTTACTCTTCAGCCATATGACTCAGGCTAAGTTTACACGACAACGATGTAGTCAAAAACGGAAAAGTTTTTCCCTTGTGTTTTTAAAACGTTTCAC